GGACTCGCCTTTTCGTGTTACTTTCGCACAAACCCCGCTTGAACGCCTACCAAATTTCTGCCGTGTCTGAGGAAACACCAATGACTTAGCAAAGACGTAATATGATTTATTTTGGGTGTCACCGCGATTGATTCCTGCGCTGACCCCTTTTCATTCATAAGCCTCCCCACCCCCGTCTGCCTCACCCTCCCTGATATATGAGTTTTGTATTTAAAATTACATCTTGCGAGAAAGCTTTCGTAAAGGGGATCCGCGAGCCGGGACAGAGCAGCACGAGTTGCCGTGGAAGGAGAACACAGATTTTTACGGCCGGGTGGGGGGGGTCTGGTTTGTACTGCTAAAAAAGAGGAGAGGAAAAAAGAAAGGCCTCTTTTAGGCTAATCTCTTACCCCTCTTTCTTCTATAACATTTATTTGTTGATTAAAATACCGGCCCTCCCAGGGTGGATTTTTTGCACTTACACAAAATCCTCCCTTCCCACGTTTGGTTGGGTTTTTTTTTTTTCTGTAGTCCGGGACGTTTAAAACACCAATAATTGCGAGGTGGCACGTCTGTATTTTCTGCTGCAAGAGATGAAAGAAGGAGGAGTGGGCTGAAGGCACGAAGCAGCGCTCGTCTTGCCAGGCCGGGCTGTGGGAGAAGGGAGGACCTCCGCCGGGAACTGCGCGGCCCCGCCGCCCCCAACGCGGGCCGCGGAATGTGCGGGGGCTCCGCGGAGCGGCCGCGGCCCCCGGCGCGGCCCCAGTGCCTCTCCGAGCTCTGCCTTTGTGTTGCTTTCCATCCCTTTATCCGGCGATTTCCTTACAGGAGGGATTTTCAGTTGCAAAAATAGAACGGCAAATGTTAAAATTAGAAACAAATGTCCTGCTTTGATTTAGTAAAAAATAACCAAAATAAATAAAAGCCAAGCTCAAGGAAAATGCAAACAGAATTGGATACAGCAAATATTTCTGACTCCCGAAGCCTCTTGAAATGTTAGTTGGGAGCAATTCCTTTTGTCTCCTCTCTCAAGGCACACGAGGAGATTATTAGGACATCATTACTGCGAAGAAAGAAAGAGGAAGGCGAACGATTTACGCAAAAAAATAACACATTTCCGAACAAAATATGTAGCAAGACACATTTCTTGGTTTTATAAAGACATTTATTTACTCTATGAAAATAATGTACAATAAATAATTTGCCATTTACTATTAAAGGATTTGAATAAATAGTCTACATCTAAAACTTAAAAAGAGGAAGGAAAATTCCTCTGTTTTTTTTTAATTAATTATTTTATTAAGAAATCTAAAAGTCTCGTTCTGATTCCTGAGAAAGTAAATCCTGAAGGATTTACAAATGTTTTCTCTTGGGGGCTAACATCTCTGATGTGCGTGAGAACTATCGGGTGCTTTCTTTAAAATAAATAAGGAAAAAATAAAACTATAATTAAATACCTGCATTTAGCAAAAATCGGGCTGTTCTTTCCCGTGAGCCTTCTAGAATAAATATTGGGAGGGTGATTCGGGTCCCATAGTGTGAGGAGCTTTAAAAGAAAGTGTCTGGGGAGCGGGACGGGGTGATTGAATGAGAGATGGCTTGGGTTTGGTTTTGGGGGTGCCCCCCCGCCCCGTACGGGAGACTGGGGGGAGCTGGCAGGGGCTCGGGATGGGGCTGGTGCGCCTGGAAGGGGCCGAAACGGCGAGGCGGGCGGGGGTCGCTATTGGAAATTTAAATGTTGCAAATCTATAGTACAAAGTGCGCTCGTAAAAAAGTCCAGGTCTTCCTCGGAGAAGTGGACGGGGCTCTCCAGGGAGCCTTGGAGACTGGGGGAAAGCCCCTCCGAGAGCTGCAGGCAGGACTCTGCCGAGAAGATGCTCAGCTCTGGCAACAAAGGCGAGTCCTGGCTCTCGGGGTAGGCACGGTCCGAGGGGCCGGCGGCGGCGCCGGGCTCCCCCGCGGCCGCCCGCTCCGCCCCGGCCGCCGCGAACCGCGGGCTCCCGGGCTCCTCGTTCCCCGGCTTTTCGCTTTGGTAGGGCCCGCTGGGCTCCGGAGCCGGCCCGAAAGCTGGGCTCTCCTCAACCTCCTCCGCGGGGTCGCTGCCCTCGTCCAGGTTGGGGTAGGCGAGATCCCCGTCGGGGGGTTCTTTGTACTGGGTTTGCCTCTTGTGCTTCATCCGGCGGTTCTGGAACCAGACCTTGACTTGCCGCTCGGTGAGGTCGAGCAGAGCCGCGATCTCCACCCGCCGGGGCCTGCAGAGGTATTTGTTGAAGTGAAATTCCTTCTCCAGCTCCAGCAGCTGCGTGTTGGTGTACGCGGTCCGGAGCCTCCTGGAGCCGCTGGTGTCTGCCAGCCCCTGGATGTCTTAAACACATAGAAAACCGCACATTGCAAAGAGAGGGAGCGGGGGCAAGCGGAGTGTCTGGACCCGTCCCCTCCCTGTTGCGGGCAGGGCAGAGCCGTGCCCCGCACTAACGAGGATGGGGGGGAGAGGGGGGAAGCCGCTACGGGAGAAAATAAATGTTTAATTAAACTCTTTCCACTGTGGAAAAGGGTTGGAAATCACTCTCCGGTCCCCTTGCCCCAAGGAGGAGAAAGGATTTTGCTCCCTGGCCTCTCCCTTTAGAGACCTTCCTTCTCTGCCGCCTTCGCGGGTAAGGGGAATTTCGACCCATTCCTTCTTTTTTTTTTTTTTCCTTCCTTTTGCCAGTAGTTCGGGGACGGACTCTGCGAGGCTTTGATTTCATTATTCCTGTATTATCTGGCCAATGAGCTCCTGTGTCCGCCCTTCTCCTGCCCGAGCATTTACCTGAACGGTGCCATTAAAATAACTGAAACAGTGAATTGTGCCTTAAACATTTTATCCCGGGGGAAGGAGGGTCCCCGACCAGGGCTGCTGAGCTCCCCGGCCAAGGGGCGCCTCGGAGAGAGGCTATTGCTTTATTGGGGGGCTGGGGGAGGATTTGGGGGTGAATTTATTTTATTTTGCATTGGGAAGCTGGCTCTCCCCACCGTGTTGGACACTGAGAATCCTGCTCTCGCTCTTTCCGTCTCCCCATCCTGCTGGTAGCAGCCTCCGCGTTACCCACCCGTCTTCCCCCCCCCCCCCCTCCGCTCTTCTCTCGGCTTTTTTTTTTGTTTTGGTTGTTTGGTTAGGTTTGGGTTTTTTCCCTTCTGTAGGCTGTAAAAAAAAATAGGGCTGGGAGAGAAAGTCAAGCAAATGGAGCTGTGGCTCAGCTGCCAGGTCCCCCCGCTGGAGCTAATAAAGAGCCCGGCTCCCCCGGACCCTTCTCCCTCTTCGCTTTTGCAGAAGTTACAGCAATTTGCTCTTTTATTTGCGGGGGGAGGAGGCAGGAGAAACACACACACGCGCACACCCCCGGGCTGTGTACATTGCTGCGGTGTATTTTATTGCGTGACACAGTTTCGGGGGAGGTGCGGGGCAAAGTCTGCTTGGGGAAAGGGGGGGCTGGGGTAGGGCTGCTCCGGGGCGGGGGTGGGGGGATTGTTTATTATTCGGATCCTCTCCGATTTCAGCAAACACCCCCTCACCCCTTCATGATACGAACCTGCAGGAGATCCTGCGGCAGGGACCGGCACCGAGGAAGATGATGGGGGGGAAGAAGAGGATGAAGAGGATGGAGCCTGGGTAGCTTTCTTGGACGATTTCTTCTCCTTCATCCAGGGGAATTCCGCTGCCAAGGGGCCGGGCTGTGCCGGAGGCTGGGGCTGGAGCTGGAGCAGGCCATGAGATGCTCTTTTTTGGCTCCTCGGTCTCGCCTGGCTGCTGGAACAAGGATTCAGGCTGAGGACGGTTTGCTCAAAAGGAGGAGGAATTAATGTCGAGTCCTTGATTGATGAAGTTTGAAATGTCTCCAGGACAGCGGGAAGAGACGTCAGGCACTCTGCGAGCGAAGGCTGGCTATTTATAAACCCGATCTCCCTCTCAAATTCAAAATTCATGGCTTTTCCAGGGCCCAGGGTTTAAAAAGCGGGAGGGGGGGAGAGGGAGGAGGAGGGGGAGAGGGAAAAAAATCTGAGGGCCTCAGTTTTTATGGCAGTGATGATGATGGTTCTCGGGCTTTTTATAATTGTTATATTGCTGATAATACAGGCGTATGGGGACCTTGCTCTATTAAACTCGAGACTGGGGCGAAATTGCAGCCAATTCCTGGTCACGTGGCCAGCCCTGGCCAATGGCAGGCGGGGCCTGGTGGCAAACAGAAAGCATTATTTTTTTTAATTAATAAAAAAAAAAAAAAAAAAAAAAAGAGGCGAGAGAAGATCCCCAGAAAAACCTCTCCCCCCTCCGCCCACCGCCATCCCACCTCGGCCGGCCGGTTCTGCCGTGGCTGGGGGGGCTGCAGGCAGGGAGCCCCTGCCTGCGCTGCCTGGTGCTGCCTGGTGCTGCCTGTCCTGCCTGTACCGGGAGGCTCCAGACTCCCTTGCTGAGCTCCCGAGAGTTTGTACCTCCGACGGGGGTAGGTAACCAGGCGTGGGAAAAGGAGCTTTGCCCCCCTCCCCGCCCCGAGGTGCCCGCTTGCAGCAGGGGAAATGCAGCCTAAACCGCAGGCGAGCTGGGATCTGGGGTTTGGCAACCGAGGCCAGGGCTGCCTGGGTGTATTTGTGTATCATATATATGTTGCAGAACTTGGAAAGTTCAAGCCAGCAGGATGGTTTGGTCCGGAGGTTTGTGTCTGAGTCTGGATATGAGCACTTAGGAAATCAAGTGAGCTTTCAAGTCAAGTACAGTTAGACCGGCCTAATTTACCTGGTTAAATTACTTTTAAAGGAAGAGCGTAATCCTTCTGCTTCTAAAGCCAGACTTAATGGACCCTTTGCACTTTCCTTAAAGGCCAAACATGTTTTAAGGTCACGGATATCTTTGAAATCACATCTTTTTTCCTTCCCATCTTTTTCCCCCTTTTCCCCCCACTGCCAATAAACAGCACCACTTCCAGAGTTTACAAAATAAATAAATAAAATGAAAAGTCATTTCCCAGGAAGATTTGTTTTTTTCCTTTTAAAGGGCCCGGGTCCACACAAACCGAAAAGAAGAGAGAAACGATCAATCTTTTTCTCGAAAGACTTTTGACAGCTCGGCCTAACTCACTCAGCAAAGAAATTCAGCTTTTGCTAAGGAGTTACTTAAATCAGGAAAGATTTAAAAGGTTTAAACCAAGGGCCTGAATTCAGGAAGTCTCAAAAGTAAAAATTTCGGAGGAAAAAAAAAATAAGCTGCCCGCTGCAGAATGGAAATGTGGCTGGTTTGTAGTTTGTTTGTTCAAGCTCCATTTCTCCCATTTTGCAGCAGAGAGGGACTGGCAGGCTGCATTCACGCAGGGAGAAGCCTAGAAACTTTTGTCAGTTCAAGCATCTGTGTGGGTGGTAAGGGTTTCTGAGAAACACATAATAAATCTAAAGCTGAAGCTGAGGCTGAAGCACATTTTAGCAAAGGGGTGAAGAAAATAAAAAAGCATTTACAAAATGCAGCTCGACTGAAGGGAGAATTTCCCTAAATATTTCATATCTCTGAATGCACTTATTGTGATCAGCATAGACCTACTCAATCTCGGCAGATCAGCACTGATGTAAAATTAATAGTTAAGTTTCTGATATTTTCTTGCTTGTTTGGATTAAGGTGGCATTTTGGGGGTCTCAGGCTTTGTCATGACGCTGCCAGTTTCTCCTTTTTGAGGGACAGTGTGGTTCACTGGGGAGCTGGGATGCAGAGAAAGAGTTTGGGATGTGAAAGGAAACTTCGCAGCCACTCCCAACTGTTCTCACTGCTTTTGCTAACACTAAAGTTGCAAGGAAAAAAAAAAAAAAAAGAAAAAAGAACCTTTTGGGGAAAGAGGGATTTTTCCCACGCACCGGGCAGAGGCACAACGAAAAAAAATCTCCCTACTCAAGGGGAAAGGCATCACCTTATATGAATAAATTCACAGAGTTAGTGAATGATAGAGAAATGCAATAATTGTAAGACAAACCCAGGCCTGCTGCTTTAATGTAGTGGTGCAAATTAAACTGTGGATGTGAGGAGTTGTGGGAGAGGCAGCCCACCCAGAAACAGAGGTGGCACGCTCTGAGCCTCGGAACTGGCTTCTTTTTCCCGATTTTAACTAGTTTCTGGGAATCCCTGACACAAACCCCAGCAACATGGCGACCAGGATGTGAGATGGAAAAATATATTCAATGAGGCGGGGGGGAAGCCAACAACAAACCCAAGCCCAACCCAAGCTCTTGTTCTTTGAGCCGATCCCAATCAGAGCCTGCACGCTTTTATGCTTTTAAATTATAGTATCCCCGAATGGTAAATTGCTCTCTGCATGGACGGGCATAACCCAGCCCTGGTCCTGGGGAGAAAAACAAGCCCTGTCTTTCTGTTATACCGTTATTTATTATTGCGCGAAGGTTATAATTATTAACCTGGAACTTCATTTATTAAGAGAGATCAGAGATGGAAGGAAGCATGAGATCATTTCTCATGTAAAGCTTTCTCCACTCGACCTTTTTATATGTGTGGGTTTATCCAGGCACCTATGGATGTCCCTGGCTGTGCACACAGGTGTATAAAATATGGACAAACACACACACACTCTCCCTGTTTCTACAGCCCAGCCCTTTTTTCGTTACCTTTTACAGCCTTTTCACCCTTTTCTCTTGGCAGCAATCAAAATCGCCCTCTCCTTTCCTCCAGAGGGGACCTTCCCCTCTTCATCAGCCACAGAAATGGAGCATTTGGAGCCTGACAAGCAGTTCACCCCCTCTCCAGAACCATAAAACTTTTATTGGCCCTCTCTGCTTTAATATAAGTTTTCTTAGGGCTTTAGAGCATAAAAGGCAAATTATTCACGGTATTATCCCATCTGCTTTTGCTGCTGGCAAAGGGTTATTCTCCCTTTTGCTTGCACTGAGAACGTAACCTTGGGTGGCAGCTTTTTCCCCCTTTTCATAACGATTTTAGATGCGTGTGTTAGTCTGAGGGGGTGTAGGTGTGTGTACGTCTGTGTGCATGCGTGTGCACATGGATGTGTGTACATGTGTGTGCCTGTGTGTACACATGTGTGCGTGTATTTTAATAATAATTAATTATAACAGGTAATTTAATTTCTCTTCAGTTTTAAGATCCCCGCACGGAAACTCTGAGCCCCCCCCTTTTTTTTTTTTTTTGGTGATTAATCCTTTTCCTTTGTTTTCATTTGCGGCCCAATGGCAGCCCGGTCCCGGCCCCACGTGACCCCCCTTTGTGGCCGCGGCCGCGGGCCGGGCCGCGCAGGGAGCGCGCAGGGAGCGCGCAGGGGGCGCGCAGGGGGCGGCGGGGCCGGCCCGGCCGGTCTTGGCCCGAACCCCCGGGGTTTCACCCCAGAAGGGGCCGCGGACATGAATCCCGCTGTGCGGAGTGTGGAAGGTTTCGAGCGGTCCCTTTCCTGCGTTCTTTGCGCTGTTTTTACTCACACGTGATTTATTTTTGCCTTTAAATCCGACTGATAGGACAAGATAAAATTGATAACAGAAAGTTTATTCAAGAATTGTTCGACAGACAACCCTTAAGCAAGGAAATAAAATAACTACTATAAGAACAAAGAAAGATCTCCAAAGAGGAGGGGTGAGGTGGGAGGGAGGGATTAGCTATAGTTCTCCTAATTCAGGACTATACAATTACAGTCTGGTTCTGCTCTCATGCCTCCAGTAGAACTAATTACATTATTCATAAGTACGAAGGTAACATAAAACTACTGGTCTTTCTAAATTACAATAACTAAAATAAGCTTGTTGTACAATGACAAGGAAACACAATGTCCTTTATAACAAGTAAATACTAAAAAAGTACAATTTGATTCTTTTTTCCTCATATAAATACATAATATTGGGGATAAATAATACAAAAAAAGGAAAATATTTTAAACTGGCTATAACCAATAAATATATATGAATGTTCACCAGAACACACACCTATTGAAGGGCATCTCGACTGAGTTGGACGAAAGCCCTTCAAGGTTGTTTTTATACCCATTATATGTAAACTCTAAGTGCAACAAAGATGTCCAGACAAGAAAGCATTAGCAAATACTAGAGATCCATTCACTTCTGCTTCGATTGGAGGACATTCCGTTTGTTCAAATATACCCTGTTTTCACGTAAGGTCAAGAGAAGAGGAGGAAAGAAGCGTAGGACTTCTAAGTCTTAAGATTGCTTTTCTGTTAATGAACCCTAAGAAAAATACCCCCAAAAACAAAAAACCCCAACGCTGTCGAATGGAGACTTCATGTCATCAGAGGCAAAGGTGGGAAAATATTCAGACCTGTCAACTCTTTCTTCCTCTCTTTGGGCTGCTGTTATTGTTGGTGGGGGGGTTTAGGCATTTCAAAACCTTTTTTCCCGAACCTTTTGCAATTCTTAGACCTCTCTTATTCTAATTTTTTAACTATTATTATTATTATTATTATTTTTGAGAGGGGAGGCAGGGACCGGAGGGGAAGAGCGTGAATCCCACATGTTGGCAGGTATGTATATTTGCAGTTTATGTGGGGTCTGGTGGGAAGTTACTCAGCGAAAAAGGATGCACTTCCTCTGAAGGCTGGAAAGGAAAGCGTGAGGTTCCTCTTGAGAAGGAGTTGGAGAGGAGAATAGTTTTCTTGCAAATCTCTTTTGATTGCATATGTATACACGTGTGCATGTTTACGTAGATGCAGAGACACCAACTGTAAAGATTTGGCTGGCTGAATATTCTCCTTTCCAGTGTCCGAGAATTATCAGTGACAATCTGTACTTGGTTTGGAAATGAAGGACGTTGCTGCTTAAAGTCTGCTAGATTCCCACAAAACTACCCCAAACCCATTTCAGAAGCATTTGTGTTGAAACACGGGAGGTATATCTCTTCAGAGAGAGAGCTGCTTTTGGCAGTAAATACTGAAATGCTTGGAAATTGTACCTAATAAAACCCGGAAACAATAATAGCAAGCACAACAACCTGGTAGAAATTGCCCTGTCAAAGAAAGAAAGAAAATAGCTCAACACAAATGTTCCTGAAGCAGATCCTGCCCTCTTCCCCTCTCCCATGCCCCGTGGCGGG